ATGGAATATCTTGCCTCAAAGAAGGTATGGTACCTGAAGGTTCCCTTGGGTGAAGCTGGGGTAGGAATTGAACCTTCCTTGTCCTCTAAGGTATGACTTTGAATCTGGGGTGTAGACGTCTGTAGCACCACCTGCTTGTGCTGTCTTAGGTTTTCAGGGACATCAGTCAGGATAGCTGGTGTAGGTAGCCTTGTGGCCTTCGGATCCAACTGGTTAAGGTTTTTTTTTTGTTTGTTTTGTTTTTTTTTACACTGGATAAGGTTCTAATCTGTGCATTGCCACTTTCTGTCTGTGCCTAGGCAGCTACTTACACATCTCTAAACTAAAGAATAGGGGCTCCTGGGTGGCTCAGTTAACCATCTGCCTTCAGCCCAGGGGCATGATCCCAGGGTCCTGGGATCGAGCCCCTCTTTGGGCTCAGAGCTCAGTGGGGAACCTGCTTGTCTTTCTCCCTCTGCTCCTCCCCACTGCTTATGCTTGAGTTCTCTCTCTCTCTCTTTCTCAAATAAATAAATAAATAAATAAATAAATAAATAAATAAATAAATAAAATCTTTAAGAGGAAGAAAGAATGACAATTCCTGTGTTGTGGGTTGGTTATGGGGTGCAATGACATCATGTGTGACGGCATCGAGTATGGTTTTGGTGCTCAGTAAACAGACGCTTTGCCTGAGCCCCAGCCCACTGTGGATGTATTGCAGCTGGGGAACCGGGGTATAAGAGCACACATTGCACAGACTGGACAGAAGCATCTGGGTTCAGCCTCCCTGGGTGCAGATCCAGAGCTTAGAGTTGGGAGGAGCGGCACAGGAGACCCAGGCTGAGGGTTTGCTAATGTGATTGAGGTGCCTGGAGCTGGAAGTGTTGGCATGGCTGGCTTTGAAGTGGAAGCGAGGGACCTCCTAGCCTCGACCTAGGTCGAGGGATCGTGGTGTGGGCAGGGGGAAGGCCCGACGGTGGGTGGCAGCAATCAGTGCTGGGGCAGAGGCTGATAGAGTCTGGGCACTGGCACAGAGGGACAGCCTCCTCTCTCCACAGTGCATACACCGAGACCTGGCTGCCAGGAATGTGCTGGTGACAGAGGACAACGTGATGAAAATCGCAGACTTTGGCCTTGCACGGGACATTCACCACATCGACTACTATAAAAAGACAACCAACGTAAGTGCTGAGGCCAGACCTGGGCCCGGGTCCTTCTCCTGGGACTCTGTCCATTAGGCACTCTCCCCTTTCAATCCCCAGGCTGAGACCCAGCTCAGGTGCCTTGCTTGATGGGATGAACTGAGCACGCGTCCTCCTCCCCACGTCCTGTCCCATGTGTGCCCCTGCTTGGTACCACATTGCACAGTCCCAAGCTACCCCTCACCTCCCCCATGCCACTTGCAGGGCCGGCTGCCTGTGAAGTGGATGGCACCTGAGGCCTTGTTTGACCGGATCTACACCCACCAGAGTGACGTGTGAGTTTGAAAGAAGCAATGAGGGGTGCCTGGGTAGCTCAGTAGTTGAGCCTCTGCCTTTGGCTCAGGTCATGATCCCGGGGTCCTGGGATTGAGTCCTGCATCGGGCTCCCAATAGGGAGCCTGTTTCTCCCTCTGCCTGTGTCTCTGCCTCTCTCTCTCTCTGTGTCTCTCATGAATAAATAAATAAAATCTTTAAAAAAAAAAAAAAAAAAAAAAGAAGCAGCAGCAGCAATGACCAGAGATCCTTGGTAAAGAGAATTCCAGCACAGTAGAGTCCTGCATTCCCCTCTGGCTTGATATGGGGGTCTCCTTCCATCGTGAGAACAGAACATTGTTACGTGTCCATGTGTTTTGTTGGCTCAGTGGAGGCTGAAAGGGCAGTGTGTTCTCCAGCACTGGCTCTGGGGGAGGGGAGGGTCGGGAGGGTGTGCTCAGGGAGAGATGGGAAGGATTTGAGGCTGGCCTAGTTCTGTGCCCATAAGACCCAGTGGCTCTGTGCTGCTCATCCACAGCTGGTCTTTTGGGGTGCTCCTTTGGGAAATCTTCACTCTGGGAGGCTCCCCGTATCCTGGTGTGCCTGTGGAGGAGCTTTTCAAGCTGCTGAAGGAGGGTCATCGAATGGACAAGCCCAGTAACTGCACCAATGAGCTGTAAGCATGGGCAGACCCCTGAGGTCCCAAGTCAGGCCCTGGGGGAGGAGTGGAGGCAGAAGGGGGCTTAGCTAGAGAAAGCAGCCCTTCCTAGTCGTTCCTCAGCACGAGCCCGTGTCTGTCCTCCTGTCCCAGGTACATGATGATGCGGGATTGCTGGCATGCAGTGCCCTCTCAAAGACCTACCTTCAAGCAGCTGGTGGAAGACCTGGATCGCATCGTGGCCTTGACCTCCAACCAGGTGAGGCTGTCCTATCCTAGGCCTTCAGTTAGGTGCAGCCTTGTGAGTGAGCACTGCCTCAGGGGGCAGGGTGCCGGATCTTGTGTCTCTCCTTGCACAGGAGTACCTGGACCTGTCAGTGCCCCTGGACCAATACTCTCCGAGCTTCCCTGACACCCGAAGCTCCACCTGCTCCTCGGGGGAGGATTCCGTCTTCTCTCATGAGCCGTTGCCTGAGGAGCCGTGTCTGCCCCGACACCCAGCCCAGCTTGCCAATGGCGGACTCAAACGACGCTGACTAGCACCCCCGTCCCTCCTGCCCAGACCCCCTCATCAGCTGTCACCCTCACCCCCCACCCCTCCCTGTGGGACTCACTGCCTTCCCCTCTGCCCCTTTCCTGCTGGCAGGAGCCAGCTACCTACCTGAGGCCTTCACCCCATGGAGTTCACCTCTCCGTCCTCCTCCTCTCAACCTGCTTGTGAGAGAGAAGAGCAGAGAGGCAGGTACTTGCTCATGGCCACTTCGTTCCCTCCCACGTGTTGGACCAAGACCCCTCCCGCCACCTGGCTCTGCCCAGAGGGCTAGGGAGTGGGAGCCAAGCCAAGCAGGCACGCAAGCGAGAGCTGACTGAGCTTTCCTGCATTGGTTTTGTCTGCTTCCAGTAACCTGTAAGCCTGAGTTCTGATGGCAAGGGGCCTCGTCCTCAGGGCCAAAGCAGTAGTGAGGGGAGGCCAGTGCTTCCGGGCCTCGGCTGACGGGCCTCAGCTGAAGGCAACCTCTGCTCCAGATAGATGGTGCCAGTGGCTTATTAATTCCGATACTAATTTGCTTTGCTGACCAAATACCTGGTACCAGAGGGTGGGGAGGCAGAGGCAGGGAGCAGTGTCGTGGCCCTGGGGCCCAGCCCCAAATGGGGGGCATTGTACATAGCTATGAAGAAAACACAAAGTGTATAAATCTGAGTATATATTTACATGTCTTTTTAAAAGGGTCGTTACCAGAGATTTACCCCTTGGGTAAGATGCTCCTGGTGGCTGGGAGGCATCAGTTGCTATATATTAAAAACAAAGAAAAAAGAAAAAAAAAAAGGAAAATGTTTTTAAAAAGGTCATATATTTTTTGCTACTTTTGCTGTTTTATTTTTTTAAATTATGTTCTAAACCTATTTTCAGTTTAGGTCCCTCAATAAAAATTGCTGCTGCTTCATTTTTATATGGGCTGTGTGACAAGGGAGAGAATGTCAGCTGAGAAGGAAAAAGCCTGGTGGTCCCCTGGAGCTGTTTCTGTCCAGAGGGTGCCCTGGCTCCCTGCAGTGCCCTCCTAACCTCTTCCCCTTAGGTCCTGACACCAGACCTCCAGGACAAACCTCCTACCACTCTGATGCTTTTTTGGGAAGACGGGAAAGGACCTCTGTGTAGGGGGCAGGAACCTCCTGTCAGTGCCCTGGAGGCACTGGACCCAGAGCCAAGGCCCTAGGCCCTCAACCACAGAGTGTTTCCTCAGAGGAGACGGGTGGGTGTGGGTGGGGCTGGAGGGTCAGGAGGGGTGCTGGGGGCCTACCTGGGAATAGCTGAGAGGAGGAGAGCTAAAGTGATTTAAGGGGAAAGCTAAGGATCACTGGACCAAGGGCCTGAGGAAACTCAAATCCAGAGTTCCGTCTAGCCCTTTACGTGGGTGTGGTTTTGTCTGTGCTTCTGTGTGAGGAAAAACTTGTCACCTAAAAACTTGTCATCAGTTTGACATTCGTTCAGCTTCATGTTTCTCGGCTTACTCTGGTCACGATTCCCACAGCCACCCCCCACTTCACACACACACACACCCATTCTATCTGTGTCTGTGACCAGACTTCATGTGTTGGAACTATCGCAGATCTTGGCTTCCTGTAGTCCTTCCTGTACAAACTCCACCCCATCCCCCAGGAAAAGGGGGAAAAAATTCTCTGAATGTTTGGGTTTTGGCAGCTTGGAAATGTGCTTTCTCTGCCCCCTGCTGGTGATCCCTGCGCTCTGCACGAGGATCTCTGCTCCTCAGACCTCAGCGCGGACCCTGCTAGAACCCTGCCCCTCCCCTAGAGCTGACTCACTCTTCTGCGGGATTACGCTAAGTACAAAAGAGCGCGATCCGCTTGCATTTCCTTTCTGAGCTAGCTAGCTATTTGAGGCAGCTGCAGTGTTGGCCACTGTTGTAAGTTCTCTTTTATCCTTGTGTCTCTCTGTAAATGTGTGTCTGTCAACATATTACAGTTTGTGTTTAAAGAAGGCATAATTTGGTGAACAGAGCCAAGAACTGAATTTTTGCTCTTAAAATCATTTGCTTTGAGACCTTAGAGTGGTGTCTTTTCCTTGTAAAACCCTAATGATGATTTCTGCCTTGGCCCTCTCTTGAAGCGATGTCATGGGCATGGATGAAGGATCTTTAAAGGGCTTTAAGCGCCTGCGGGAAAGATGCCGGAGAAATACAAGGCACTGTTGTTATAACCGTGATGTCCTTGCTGTTACTACTCAAATCACCCACAAATTTCCCAAGAGACTGAGCTGGCTGTCAAATAAAAGATAGTAAAATTGACCTGAGAGAAAAATGAAATGGCCATTTTACTTAGATAACTAGATTGGGTCTCCTGAGGAAAGGAATCCAGTTTATCTAATGAAGACGTCATGCTGTCAAAGGCACTGAATCGGTCTGGTTTCCGGAGGGTTAAAAGATGAGGGTCTGGCATCATCACAGCATTAATCAATACCGCCTTTCTACCTTTTCTAATTGCCACAAACTGGGGATCCTCAGTCCCTTGGCACCACTAATGTACTGTATTGATCCTCAAGAAAGCCTGAGCCTCAGATGAAGCAAGGAATCTGTCTCAAGACAGTGGAGCCGCTATGCCTGTCAGCCACCACAGGGAGGAGCCAGCAGGCCACAGTCCCTGTTACCGGCAGGGCAGGTGCCCATCTGCTTCCAGGCTCCATTAGTCTGACCTTCCTTACCTATGTGAGCTAACTGGTGGTGACTGGCCAATCTTTAGCATTCTAGCGTATTATTTGATGTCACCAATGTGACTGGTACAATAAGGACCGAGGTACAGAATTGGGCATGGCACAAGCGCAGGTCTGTACAAGTGCCACCAGCACCTCTGCATTGTAGCAAAATTCTCTATGTAGGAGATGTAGGCCAAATCTGACATCACTGAAGCTTGCTCCTAAAAGCTGTCTAAACTCCTACCCAGTGAGATTATTAGCAGCTGACACAGCTAAGGTATGGGCATCTGCAGAGAAGAACAGCAGGAAAGGAGAAAGCTTTGTAGCAAGCTGGCATGGCCTTCCCCTCCACTCCCTCAGCTGATGAGAGCCAGGGAGATGGAAGGTCAGCAAGAAGCCAGCTGTTCAGGAAGATCCCATCTGGGGCAAGTTCTCTCCAGGGTGGCACCTGATAGCATTCAGGGTCAGAACCATGCATACTACATGGCCTCCCAAATGTTTGTGTTGGGAGCACAGAAGTGACACCTCTAATGAACATCTGCCAACTATAGATTTGTCCCTTGTTCCTCAAGGAGAGCTGGGATCAGTGGTGTGCTGGGGCTTGTTCTGAAGCTGGTTGTGCACAACGTCTTCAGCAACCTCTTGCCAGCAGCTTGAAATCGAATGCTACAAATCCAGGCACCCCCTCTCCACCAACCAGTCTTGGTTGTTAATCATTTACCAGAACACCACTAGCTCAGTTTGAGCCACAAGGCTAGATTTAGCAATCCTACAGAGCCCAACAGCCAAGAGCTCTATGTGATGGGACCAGAGAAACCTCCTAAACTTCTCTGAGCCTCTATCCTAAGAACGGGAAGAGGGGCATATCTAGTGTCTCAGAGGCCAAGATGTAGGAAAAAAATGGGTGAGGACCCACGGAGGCCAGAACTGACCCCTTGCCCTAACCATTCCCACTCTGCCCTATAGCCAGAAAGAACTGTGGAACAGCCCAACAGTACTTAAGAATCATTCAGCTAAAACAGGATTGAACAAGCTAAATTCAAAGCTAATCCCTTTCCCACATTCAACACTTGAAATGTGAGCTAATTAAAACAAACAACCATCATTTTAAAAATGGGAAAATTTATTGTGAATCACCCTAATAACTCGGCCAATGGCAAGATCCACAGAATGCTGCATAGTAGGGATTCATCATTCTCAAGGAACTGGAGTTCGTCAGCAGGCCATTTTGGGCTTTTCCTCTGGTGGAGAGGAGGCTTAAAAGGCACTGTAAAATACATCTCCTTGCTGGGAAGCACCGATGACAGTCCTCACTTAGGTGATCCCAGAGAGGGAGACTGGAGTTGTACTTGGTTTAAATGGCTCCCATCTAATTGCTTTCAATTTCACAGCGAGCTAAGAAAACCAATTTCATCACCCACAAGCCAAAGTATCTATTCTTCCTAAGCACTCCCCAAGGGAAGAAAGCCGCTGGTCAGCTGCATGGCAATGTATTATGTTTTTTTAGGACTGATGATCCTGAAAACACCGAACATACGTATCTCTGAATATAACACTCGTTACTGGGTGCATGGGGATTATATCAGACTTTAACCAGCCCTATGACTAACAAATGGTCTTGTTTGTGAAAGAAACAGACCAGAAAAACACACCCAGCACAGACAAATGGTTAAGTCTTAAACCCTTCATTATGTTCCCTGGCAAAATGGTGGCTAATGAAAGCCACATGTGCTAGAGTAGTGGCAGCCTCCCAGATTCCTGCAGCCTCTGCAGGGCCCAGAGGGGGAGGCCTCCCAGCAGCCAGGCCTTTTTGATTGCCATTCTGTTTAACTCCCCATTTTCTTCTCCAAAAAGCTTTTTTCTTCTTTATATCCAGAAAGACCTTACCGGAGAGTACATCCATTCCATCCCATAAGGTGCTTTGTTTCCAGGGCACTGTTCCTACTGATGGATCACTGGAAAAGTTAGGTGGCCTTAGTGGGGTTTCAGAGTTTCCAAGTTCTGAATTGAGGAATCTAAGGTGCCAAGCTGATTCCGTTATGCAAAAAATCCTCTCCCTTAAAGGACATGCACACAAATATGAAACTGTTCAAACATAACATGGGGAGGGGGCTTTACACAGTTTGGTGGGATGACATAATGGTACAGAGGAAGTTGGCTTTGCAATTATATTTCTAAATGGTCTGAACTTGGTCTCACTGCTGACATCATCTGGAATGGCTACAAGGCCTCAAAGGACTGCCTCAAGGACAACATGGCTGATCCTCTGCTTCAACCAGACAGATGGTCTGGGCGGTCCTGTATGGAGGCCACCGCCGAGGGCAGGAAGCTGAGGACTGAGCTTCATCCTCCAGTAGTCCTTATGTTCCTTTTGAACTAGCCTTGCTGTTCTGCGTTATCTTTTGTGATTTGACCTGGAGTGTCTAGGTACAAAACATAAGTACTTTAGGCCCTGCTCACAGTGAGATTTGAAAGCTCTTTAGAAGTCCTTTTTGTATTAATCAAATAATGACAGACCACAAAATCAAATCCAAGTTCATAATTTACCTCGATAATAAAAATTAAAAAGACCTACAAGCAAGGACCCTGGTGTCTGTGTGTTGGCTGGCTCTCTTTGCTTTGACCTTCTTGGGCCAGTAAGCCAGTCAGTCTAACTCTCCCATGACCCCCTTGCCACTTACTTGTGTCATCCTTCTGCTCTGGCCCCAAATTCTTTCACCCAAACGGGAAAAGTGGATAGATAAGTAATTTCTTATTTACATACATTTCTCTTAAGATTTAAAATGCTTTCCTGCTCGTATTTCCTGACATCTGAAGCCTGTGTGAAATACACAACATATGGGAACTATTTCCATCTGGCACAAAAGAAAAGAATCTGCCTATATTGTAATTAGCTTCTATACTTCACATGTTTAGGCCTCATCCACGACTGTACTGGGTGATAATGGTTTTTTTTGGGAGGCGTTTTTGTTTTTTGTTTTTTTGCTTTTGGAGAATTGAGTTTTAAAAATGTAGTGGTTATAAAACAACTAAAGTTCAGCCTACAACTTCCTGTTTGGATGACAGGAAGAAGTGTGCTGTGTTTTGCAATAGTTACAACTCTAGATTGTCACTGCCCTTAAACATAACTGGAGACTAAAGATGTTCTGTTTTCAGATACTTACAGCTTCTTTAGCAGAAGTGATGGGTCCTTTAGGTAACGAAATAGGTGTTGCTGTTATGGATGATGATGGAACTGGTGGCAGTTGTATAAATTTTTCATCCTTAAACATCAGAATTAAGAGTTGGGTTACTGATTTAAAACAAAATGGCTATTTGATCTATAGTCACACTGCTGTGACCACCAGGAACTTGTGACAACCACATATTCTGGCACAGAATTCAAGAGGCTAAAACTGGAACCTAATTACATATAGCCAAATGTTGACCTTTCTTAGAAACATCTAATAGTACAATAAATAGTCCTTATTAAAGAACACCATAGTGTTGAAATTCAGTTTCATTAAAAGAGTTAAGAATTGATAACTTATTTTCATTTTTAAACCTAATTAATCAAATGAAAAAGTAATAGCCTAACCTTAGTTCCCTTCAGTGGAGGTGCTAAATCCACCAGCATCTCTTTAGATTCAGGAGAAGTAGGTGATTCCACAGGAATATCTGTTTTGGGAGACTAGGAAGAGAAATATTTTATACGAACATAAGCTTTCTGCTATTCTTGAAACTCAAAAGCACTTCTACAGTAGTCAATACTTTCTAGCACAATTTGCTTTTCACTCACTAAATCCCTAACTTTTTCCAACTATACCCTTTGTGAGAACATATGAAATATGTCCCTGAAGTAGCAACTTAGTATTTGAGTTTTCAGTGTCCTTTATGTAAAAGTTGTACTCTAATGAGATTCTAGTATTGAAAATCCCCAGTTGGGGAGCTTGGCTGGCTCAGTCAGTGGAGCATGCGACTCAGTCTTGGGGTTGTGAGTTCGAGCCCCATGCTGGGTGCAGAGATTATTTTAAAAATAAATTTAAAAAAAAAGATTCAGTTATTAACAAGCTACTGATCTGCCAATACTTGTCCTGTTTTTAGTCTGAGGAAAAAAAAGTTGCCGTTTCTCAATTGCTCATCAGCTTCTAATAGCACTGATATAACTTAGTCAAAATTGATATCTTTATCATTTTTGGTGTCAAATAAATGATTAATTTGTCTCATTTATTAAAATGGTAGGCGCTGCTTAATAGAAGCTCCTGCAACATGAGGAAAATAGATATGTTTTTAGAAAAGCCAGCTAACCTATCTTTAAGGATTATAATTATATTTGAAAATAAATATATCAGTGCTCTTTGGAATTAAGTAATTTTGTGTACTGTGGAGGGAAAAGAGCTACATATATTCTAAATTATAGTATATTTAACTTGATGTCTCAATTCTTTACAGATCCTAGCATGCTACTTATTCTCATCTTGTATATATAGAAAATATAAGTTTAAAAACATGGATTTTTTTTAAAAAGCAACCAATAAAGTGCCTAGGAGCTTGTCATTTTGTTCTTAATTTCTAGGTCTTTGTCTCAAACATTCCAGAAAGCAACATCTGGATAAAGAGTTTATGCCCTTCCAGAATAATTCAGCCCTGAGATATTTACTATTCCAAGATATCCTTGCTCCTGAGAGCAGTCGAAGAATGACAAACTTGGTCTGTCTGAAAAATCAAACATATAGAATAAGAACCAGGTAGACTGCCTTTTAGAAGATGGTCTGGCTTCCAGAATTGCTCCCACTCTCCCTAGATTCCTTCCCAGGCAGAGCACAAATCGAATTAGTCTCTGGAAATACGGAAAGGCAAAACAAGAAGATATTCCCTGATGTACATTTTTCATGCTGGACTTCTTATCATTTCCCTTGACTTGTCCAAGGAATCACTAGCATAACTAAATTAAAAATGACTGGTCCCCACTCCAGAGAACTTAGTTTATAATCTACTAAACCACATGTCCAGCATCTTTCACCATGGCCTCTCCTTTCTTGTTCATGCAGATCTTGACTTAGACATGAAGCCACAAAGTAGAGAAGTGAAAGGCCCTATCCAGAGCAAGATGCTCTGGTGATTGGGCCAATCCTGGAGTTTTTGGTAAAATACCAGGACGCAAAAAAAGCTGCCGAATTAAAGGCAACAAAAAATGATCAAGGAAGTTAGTGGAAGGAAGACAAAAAGCTTACATTCTAAATTGGCCTTTCACTGCTTAAAAATTAATAGGAATCTAGACAAATGAAATAGACACAAAAGAATAGGAACCACTCAGTCTCAAAAGAGAGTGGTGAAAAAAAAAAACAAAAACCCACCAGTCTGCTAATGAAGACTAGATAATTAAGGAGAAATAGTAAACTGGATTCCTAAATTGAGCTGAGATAAAAGACAATAACCGCCCTATAGCTAGAGTTAGTTTTAACGATTTTTTTTTTTTAAGGAATTTCAAAAAGACTTTAAAGCCAAATGGGCCAGGGATGCCTGGGTGGCTCAGTGGCTGAGTGTCTGCCTTTGGCTCAGGGCATAATCCCGGAGTCCCAGGATTGAGTCCCTCATCGGGCTCCCTGCATGGAGCCAGCTTCTCCCTCTGCCTAGGTCTCTGTCTCTCTCTATGCCTCTCTCATGAATAAATAAATAAAATCTTAAAAAAAAAAACCAAACAAACAAACAAAACAGCCAAATGCCAAAAGACAGTCCAAAAGAAATGTCCACCCTAACTGCAAGAGGAAATAAGACATCTGTGGAGACACCCCCGTTATGGAAATCCAGATCCCAGGTACTCACCTCCCCACTTAGAGGTATCTCAATTGGCTTTGGCTTCACATCTATCAGGTAGAAGGTTCGTGACAGAAGCAACAGAGAAGGAGGGACATTCTCCTTCAGGTGGAGGTCCTGCCACTGGAGAGTGGGAGGGAAACAAAACACGGCAATCTCAGAATATTAGAACTAGACATGACCCACAATCATCTGCTTCCCTGGTTTTACAACTTTACATGCTGATAACCAGCAACAGGACAGGGTAAGAACACCAGTCCCCAGGCTACTGCATCAGTGGTTGTACTCTGCAACCCCCCTCAAGACAGCTGGATCCTCTGAGTTGGACAGGGAGTATTCCATTAAGCTCTCAAACCGATTGTGGATCAAGGTAGTGAAATATCTTCTCTTAGACACAGAGCAGATAAGGGGAAAGAATAAGTAAGCCTCACTCATAACCAAAGAAATAAACATTAAAATGAGAATGATTTAATTTTCAAGTACCAAAATAACCAAGCTTTTCAAAAAACTGACAGATAATACATGCACAAGAAAAAAATTCAAAAAGTAAATAAAATGTAATCAATAACAATAAACCCCACTTCTACTCCTACCCTGTTTCCCTTCCCAGAAGCAACCACTGATACCAATTCCTTATATAATCTTCAGAGATAACCTATGCATATATGAACACACCATTATATGCTTTTCATCTTTACATAAGGGTGATATATACACACTGTTCTGTCCTTTGCTTTTTTTTTTCACCGAAATATCTTGGAGATTGATTCATATCAGTAGCTGTAGAGCTGCCTCCTTTTTAACCATCCTTAAAGGATTCCATTGTTGCACAGAAATGACATAATTTGATTATTCTCCTATTTATAAACTTTAGGCCGTTTCCAATCTTTTGCTATTATAAATGGTGGTGCAATGGATAATCTTTTTTTTTTTTTTAAGATTTTATTTATTCACGAGAGACACACAGAAAGAGGCAGAGACATAGGCAGAGGGAGAAGTAGGCTCCTGTGGGGAACTTGATGCAGGCCTCAATCCCTGGACCCTGGGATCACACCCTGAGCTAAAAGCAGCCGGTCAACCACTGAGTCACCCAGGCGTCCCTGCAATGGATAATCTTATAGATATATGCACAAGTGAAATTTCTAGGTCAAAGTAAATGTATTTTTAAATTTTGAAAGATTCCATGGAGATTTTTTTATCAGCAATGCGTGAATGTCCCTCTCCCCAACCCTCAACCACATAGTGTTATCAAATTGATCTTTGCCAACATAATAGGTGAATGTGATATCTCATAGTTTTAATTGATCTTATTATGAAGTTAAGATGTTTCATATGATTATCATTTTAGGTTTTCCTTTCTATGAAATGCCTGCCTGTATCCTAACAGAGGAATTTCTGAATAATATATAGTGCTGAATATCATACTGTTGGATTAGAATCCTCACTCCTTTGTGCTAAAAATGACACACTCTTTCAAGAAAGCTATCTGATAGTATGAACCCACTTAATACTCTATGTTCAAGAAATAAATGATTTCAATAAACTTTCTCTACAATATGTTCATCTACCAGCCAGAGCAGGTCCCACACATAAAAAAGAAATTTGAATAGGAGTTACTCCTTTGAAATACATTGATGCTTTGAAGCATCTGTGGCTCAGTTGGTCAAGCATCCGACTCTTGGTTTGGGCTCAGGTCATAAATTCACGGGTTGTGGGATGGAGCCCTGCATTGAGCCCCACAACCAGCTCCACGCTCAGCAGGGAGTCCACTTAAGATTCTCTCCCTCTGCCCCTCCCCCAACTCACGAAAGCATGTGTTCTCTCTGCCCAAAATAAATAATCTTAAAAAAAAAACCAAAAACAACAACAACAAAAAAACAGCCCCCCCCCAGGTGGTTCAGCAGTTTGGCACTGCCTTCAGCCCAGGGTGTGATCCTGGAGACCCGGGATCGAGTCCCACATCGGGCTCCCTGTATGGAGCCTGCTTCTCCCTCTGCCTGTGTCTCTGCCTTTCTTTCTCTCTGTGTCTCTCATGAATGAATGAATGAATGAATGAATGAATGAATAAAATCTAAAAAAAACCCACAACATTGATGCTCTTAGTTAAAACATGTTGTCAGTAGGAAAATATTAAACATCTTTGCCAAAGCTAACACTTTACATTGGCTGGGGGTACAAACTTGGAAAGTAATCCCAGGAGAGCCACCAGGCAAGGTTTAGACCTTCAGATGGACTCACAAATGGTAGGCCTTGGATTCAAGATTTTACCGGGGCCCTTAAAATACCTAGAGTATGCAGAATTATAAGGTGGTCCAAAATTCCTAGTCCCTAGTGTACCCACATCTTCTCTCCAGTTATTCAAACCCTAATCTAGGTGCTGCTATGAGGGATTTTGCAGATATAATTAGGGTCTCAAGTCAGTAGACCTCAAAGTAGGAAGTCATTTGAGTAGGTCTTGCCTAATCAAATGAGGCCTTTAAATCTGGAGCTAGAGGTCAAAAAGGGAGGGGGAGTCTGAGATGTGAAGCCTATGGCGGGGGTGGGGGGCTGATGTATGAGCAGCTCTTCATTGCTGGCTTTGCAGATGGACAGGGCCTAGACGTAAGGAATGCAGGTGGCCTTCAGGGCTGAGTAGCTTGGGGCTGACAGCCAGTGAGGATATGGGACTTCAGTCCTACAGCTGCAAGAAATTAAATTCAGCCAACAAACTGAATGAACCTGGTAGTGGAGTCTTCCCCCAGAGCCTCCAAAGAAAACACAGCCTGCACTTCTGACTGAAAGAACTTGTAAGCTAATACGTGGGTGCTGTTTCCAGCCACTAAGCTTGTGGTAGGTTTTTATGCAGCAATGGATTCGAAGGGATACATGGACCCTGATGTTTGTAGCAGCATTATCAACAATAGCCAAATTATGGAAAGAGCCCAAATGTCCCCTGGCTGATAAGATAAAAAAGATGTATTATACACACACACACACACACACACACACACACACACACACACACACTGGAATATTACTCAGCCATCAAAAAGAATGAAATCTTGCCATTTGCAATGACGAGGATGGAGCTAGAGGGTATAATGCCAAGCAAAGTAAGTCAGAGTAAGACAAATACCCTATGATTTCACTCATATGTGGAATTTAAGAAAGAAAACAGATGCACATATGGGAAGGGAAGAAAAAGGAGAGAGGGAAACAAACCATAACAGACTCTTAAAGACAGAGAACAAACTGAGGGTTGATGGAGGGAAGGTTGGGGGGCAGGGGGGATGGCTAGATAGGGAACAGGTATTAGGAGGGCACTTACTGTAATGAGCACTAGGTATTGTATGTAAGTGATGAATCACTGAATTCTACTCCAGAAACCAATATTGCACTGTATGTTAATTAAGTAAAATTTAAATTAAAAAAGAAAGAAAACTAATAGAGTACCCTGTCTCCATCAAAAACAAATCTAGCTTCTTCAGTGTCCCACATTTAAATGAGGCAAATTAGGTGGGATGGCTCGCCTGCAAAGTAGAAATCACAAAATGAGGTCTACACATTGCAGGGGACAGAGTTCTAGTGAAAAGGGCCCAGGAGAGCTGCAACTTGCCTCTGTGAGCTGCTGTCTCAGTTGCTCTTCTGTGAGACCCAGGGATCTCATCCCTCGAGCCCTGCAGGCAGCCTGCAGTTCTGACACGCTCAAAGCACTCACCCCTTCTCTGGCAATTACCTGAAAGCAAGGGAGGGAATGGTATTGGATCTTTTGGTTCCAATTCTACCAAATCCAAAATTCCAACAAATCAGAGGAAACACCAAATCTGATGCTTTCACATCAGACTGTCCTCTAATGGTTCAGCAGTTGAAATGAAGGGAATCCTACCGACAGGTATTAATAATATCAGAAATAGTCACATAACTCCTCTGCAACACTTTGTCACCAAAGTAATCCTCTTCCCTCTTGATTTGCATTTCCCCTTCATGGCAGCTTTAGGATTCATTAGAAAATATTCCACACAAAAAGTTTTCAGTGTACTGTTTGTTGTGTGTCCCAGTATCCCCCTTCCTTTACCATCCCCCTACCTCCATCCAGGAATGGCCATAACTCTGGTCCACAAAACTTTCTCAATATAACAAAGTCTCTGCTTGGTGTGACCCAAAACTATGGTACTTCTGGGACCACTATTGTTTATTCCAAAATTCTGAAAGCAATAGCTCAAATCTAAATGAGGCCACAGGGATCAGGCTTTCTCAGTTCTGGGAATCTTGCTCCTTCAGGCAGAAAGCTTTAAAGCAGCTGATTCTGATTCAAGAATGAGTCTAATTAGTAGTTATAATGCCTTTCCTCTATAAGATATCTAGGCTCTGTTTTCCCTCCCTGCATTATGTGATGCCACCCCTTCTTATCGGGCCAACTGACCCAGCAGAATATTTACTTTGGCACCAGCTCTGAGGAAAGGGAGCTGAGATGTGGGGGTAGAGCACTGTCCTTAGCAAGGGAAGACTCAGGAACCTCTGGGGCTGCTGTTCCTTCCTAGTGGGTCCTAACTGATTTAGATTACTAAATCACTAACTGCTAATGAGGGCATTCTCCAGAAAATGCGTCAGAGAACAGCAAACAACTCCTAAAATGAGTAATCTGGGTTCAAGTTGTCATGGTAATGATTGTTTAAACTACTCAATGGTTTGCCAGAACCAGTCCATGAGCAGATCTAAGAGAAGATACTACACTTTATCACAAAGCTATCCTAAGGGATCTCCCATGCCTTGCTAATTCCCTACGGCTACAGTTCAGATCTTACTTCATCATCTGCTTTTATAGACTTTAGTTTCATCAGAAGTTGAAAGCGGAGCAAATTGTTGGTTCCAAAGGACTGCAATTCTAGCAGCTTGCAAAGGGCAACCAGCTGAGGTCGATCTAGGTGCTCCAGGGTTAGCTGATCCTCAAATAGTTTGGAAAAGCGAACTATCTCCTTTGTGCTGGGCTTGTGGCCTGTCTGGACCTAGGTAGTGAAACAAAGAGGTTAAGTAAAATGTATTTCATGGGGCATCTGGGTGGCTCAGGTCATGATTTTATGGGTCGTGAGATCAAGCCCCACGCTGGGCTCCGCACTTAGAGTCTGCTTGACATTCTCTCCCTCCCTCTGTCCTTCATGCACACACACTTTCTCCCTTCCTAAAATAAAGAAATAAATCTTTTAAAAAATTATAGCATGTATTCTTAATTGAACCTTCCCTGTAGACTATTTGAAAGACACATCAAAGACACACGTTCATAGATTCTATATTATGTCTGGAAATGGGCCTCATGGTACCAAGAGACATAAAAAAATCTGTCCAAGTCAGCCCAAGTTGACTGAAAAATCAGGAGTAGTTCAAAAGTTTCACTCAAAATCTACCATTCTTTCCAAGAAGTTATCAATGTCTTCAATAGATGACTGCTTTAAGGTAGGTTTTTCTGCAAGCTACCATAAATGTTTGCAATGTTGTAGGCGTATAACTTAGACATTTGCAAAGTCAGAGGCTGTGAACAATTTGGCAGATCCATGATGACATGAATTGTTCATGGAACTGCCAGCCTAGAAGTTGTTTGGTGTTACACAAGAGACTGACACCTGTTTGACATAGGATGAGAACTGTATGGAGGCGTCTCCCAGCTTGGCCCTGTTCCTCCTTGCCATTTCTGTAATTGTTTCTTGAAGAAATTTTGCTAGTTCCAACTTTGCAGCCATTTTCTTTTTCTGTTTTTCCTCCTTAATAACAAAGAGGAGAAAGTTAATCAATCCTTTGTGATTACAACTTCATAAAGATGAGAGGAAAAGAACTGTCACCTTGTTATTGTTAATATTATTTTGCATGTTATTGCATGTTAATATTATTTTCAGACCTAGTTAAATAGGTTTTGTGAGAACCAGAACAAATAAAAAGTAGCCTCTAATTGCAACTTAACTTCTTAATCTTACCTTTTATTTCTTACTAATACAATGACCATAAGTATTTGATAGATCCAAAATGTCCCCTCAATGGGAGGCTTTGTCATTACATATAATGAGATACTATGGGGCTCCCTGGTGGCTCAGTGATTGAGCGTCTGCCTTTGGCTCCGGTCGTGATCCCAGGGTCTTGGGATGGAGTCCCACACTGGGCTCCCCATAGGGAGCCTGCTTCTCCTTCTGCCTGTGCTGCCTCTGTGCGTCTCTCATGAATAAATAAATAAAATCTTTTTGTAAGAAAATGAGATACTATCTCTTAGCCTGGTATAAACATGTAGGCTGCTAGTTGAGCCAGCCCCCAGTCCTAGAGTGCCCCAGATTTTGTGTGTGCCACAAAGAAAACTAGGAAATTAACTGTATGCTAGAGTAGCATACAGTTTTAGTACAAAACATACAATTAAACTGACTTAAGTGTTATAACAGGAACAAAGCACTAAACAAAAGAGAAATAAATGTACATTCCATTTATTTATTTATTTATTTATTTATTTATTTATTTATTTATTTATTTATTTATTTATTTATTAAAGTAATCTCTACTCTTCAGGTAGGGCTTGAACTCATAGTCCCAAGATCAAGAGTTGCATGCTTTATTGAGAAGCAGTCAGGCACCCCTTAAACATATACACTTAAGACACATTGTTGACAAGTATTTCTAAATCCCCATTATCAGAAAGGTGGTGTGATAGCATTTTCAAAATAATCATGGTCAGGGACTCCTGGGTGGCACAGTCAGTTAAGCATTCATCTCTTGGTTTTGGCTTGGGTCATGATCCCATGGTCATGAGATTGAGCCCTGCATCAGGCTCTGTGTTCGGTGCAGAGTCTGCTTGGGATTCTCTCTCCTTCTCTCTCTGCCCCTCCCACTAGTTCTCTCTCTCTCTCTCAAATAAATAAATCTTGGGATGCCTGGGTGGTTCGGTGGTTGAGCATCTGCCTTTGGCTCCCATGGGGGGCCTGCTTCTCCCTCTGCCTGTGTCTCTGCCTCTCTCTGTGTGTCCTTCATGAATAAATAAAATCTTTAATAAAGTAAAATAAATAAATCTTAAAAAAAAAAAACATGGTCAGGACTCAGGGGAATGGAGAGGAATAGGATTCTCTGTATTTTTAAGTTGCCCAAGAGATTCCAATGATCAGCCAATCATAGCAATCATTAATTTTTAGAAAGATCTTAGAAAACTCAGCCAAAAAAATCATTCAATGACAATGACAATACCATCATTAGAACCCATTCAATCACTATATCCATTAATCACTATATCCATAACAACTATATCCATTCATCTATTCATTTATTTATTGAGCATCTACCTTGTACTAGGTGCTGGGGATAAAATGAGCAAAAACAGGTAAGAATTCCTACCCTCATGGGACTTCTAGTCTAATAGGAAAGACAAACATTAGTGACTAATGATAATTCAGTAATTCCACAAATTAAAGTATAAGTACTATGAAAGAAAAATGTAGAGGTGCTCTGATCTGATGTAAATAGAAAGTTCTGCTTCCTCCTATCCCCTCTCCTATAACCTCCTTTCCTCCACAACCACCAATCTCTCTCATTTTCTTTTTTTTTTTTCAAAGATTTTATTTATTTATTCATAGACACAGAGAGAGAGAGAGAGGCAGAGACACAGGCAGAGGGAGAAGCAGGCTCCACACAGGGAGCCCGATGTCGGACTTGATCCCAAGTCTCCAGGATCACACCCCAGGCTGCAGGCGGTGCCAAACCACTGCGCCACCGGGGCTGCCCTCTCTCATTTTCTCATTTGCTTTAGTTCATGGAAAGAAAAAGAGAATGTATTTTCTAAAACTGTGGCTATGATGTGTGTGTATGTATGTTTGGGGAATGAGTGGTGCTGAAGAAAGAGGGATCTTTAGATAAATCACTTATTCTATTCCCTCAACTTCCTGCATTCATGAACACATTCCTTGGAATCCCACGGTATTAATTCTAGGTCCTGATTACTTTAAATGTAAACTAAACCACTGCCAGTTAAATATTGCAATATGATTCTATCCCTTACCTGTATCTCAGATGTATCTTCAAGTTTTTATTCCTAATGCCACTTTCATAATTTAATCCTCTCTCTCCTGTGCTACTGTAATAGCACATCAGCCGGTTGCCCTCCTTTGGCTCTGCCTCTTCAATCCTTTTAGCCAGCAAAATCACTTTTTCTAAAATATGATCTAATCATGTTGCCCACCCTCTGCTTAAATTTATCTTCCATTATTCACCATTGTCAAAGGCAAAGTCTAAATTCCTTAGAGTGGTAGACACTTTCCAACCTGACCCCCACACATCACTTTTGTCTCATCTTTCCACCATTGATCCCCTTGTATTCTCTGCTTCAACCACAAAGAAGCACTCAGTGCCTCAGATTATGTCACACTTTTTCACACAATTAAGCCATTTTAAGTGCTACTTGTTCTATCCAGAAAGCCTTTCAGATGCTGTGGCAAAATTCTACCATTCTTCTAGTCTCTGTTGCATAGTTACTTCTTCTATGAAACATTTCCCAATCTGATTTAAAAGTTATTCTGGTTGTCCTCCATTATGTGTTTGTGCCTTCAGATCTCTGTCCAGTAGAGTGGCACAGAATGGAAAGAATGAAGGGGACCACCTTAGTTTTTCCAGCCCACCAGCTTCACAGTGACCATCCAATGAAGACCCTGCTTCTCTAGGATACTCTTATACATGAAAGGGTCTGTCTGGCTAAATCATGCCTACTGCTCAGCTAGTCACTGCAATAACAGTTGATTTCTCTTTTCTTTATTTTTTAATGGTGAAAAACAAGTTAAAATTCATTCGAAAGGGGGTGGATTTTCAACAAATGATGCTAGAGAAACATGGTATCCATATGCAAAAAAGAAAAAAATTACTCTCGACTCTGATGTTCCACCTCTCACCAAAATTAACTCAAATGGATAATAGACTTAAGTTTATTTTTTTAAGAAATATTTAAAAATTTTTTAAAGATTATTTATTTATTTATTCACAGAGATGCAGAGAGAGAGAGAGAGAGGCAGAGACACAGGCAGAGGTAGAAGCTGACTCCATGCAGAGAGCCTGACGTGGGACTCAATACAGGGTCTCCAGGATCACGCCCCGGGCTGCAGACGGTGCTAAACCACTGCGCCACAGGGGCTGCCCTAATAGACTTAAGTTTAAAACTCAGAACTAGGGGATTCCTGGGTGGCTCAGCGGTTTAGCGCCTGCCTTTGGCGTGGGGTGTGATCCTGCAGTCCTGGGATCAAGTCTCGCGTCGGCTCCCTGCATGGAGCCTGCTTCTCCCTCTGCCTGTGTCTCTGCCCCCCCACTCACTCTCTGTGTGTCTCTCATGAATGAATAGATAAAATCTTTAAAAAAAAAAAAAACTCCGAACTATAAAACTTCTAGAAGAAAATATAGGAGGGGTGCCTGGCTGGCTGACCATGTGAGTGTGAAACCTACTTAGAATTGAAAGAAAGAGGGGATCCCTGGGTAGCGCAGCGGTTTGGAGCCTGCCTTTGGCCCAGGGCGCGATCCTGGAGACCCGGGATCGAATCCCACGTCGGGCTCCCGGTGCATGGAGCCTGCTTCTCCCTCTGCCTATGTCTCTGCCTCTCTCTCTCTCTCTCTCTCTCTCTGTCTGTGTGACTATCATAAATAAAAAAAAAAAAAAAGAATTGAAAGAAAGAGAAGAAAGGAAAAAAAGGAAAGAAAAGAAAAAGTAGGAGAAAACCTAGGTGACCTTAGGTTGACAGTGAGTTTTTAGATACAACACCAAAAGCATGATCCAAAAAAAAAAAAAAAAACAACCCAAAAAAACAAAAACTGATAACTTGTATTTGATTAAAATCAAAAACAGTGGCTCTGTGAAAGACAGATAAGAGGACAGGCCAAAGGCTGTGAGAAAATATTTACAAGACACATATCTGCTAAAGGGCTTGTATTCAAATATACCAAGAATTCCTAAAGCTCAGCTATAAGAAAATGAACAACTCCATTAAAAAGTAGGCAAAAGGGCAGCCCTGGTGGCTCAGCGGTTTAGCGCCTTCAGCCCAGGGCCTGATCCTGGAGATCCAGGATCGAGTCCCACGTTGAGCTCCTTGCATGGAGCCTGCTTTTCCCTCTGCCTGTGTCTCGCCTGTCTCTCTCTCTCAGTGCCATGAATGAATGAATAAAATCTTAAAAAAAAAAAAAAGTAGGCAAAAGACAAATACATTCCCAAAGATATACAGATGGCAAACAAGCATATGAAAAAATGCTCAATATCATACATCATCAGAGACTTGTAAACTAAGATAACAATGAGATCACTTTACACCTATCAGAATGGCTGATATTCAAAGCACTGACAATACTAAATGCCGATGAAGATATAGAGCTACAGGAACTCTCATTGCTGTGGGAATAAAAATGGTATAGCTACTTTGGAAGATAATTTATTTTTTTACAAAACTAAACATATGGAACGCCTGAGTGGCTCAGTGGTTGAGCATCTGCCTTCAGCCCAGAGCATGATCCTGGAGTCCCGGGATCAAGTCCCACGTCAGGGTCCCTGCATGGAGCTTGTTTCTCCCTCTGCCTGTGTCTCTGCCTCTCTCCATGTCTTTCATGAATAAATAAATAAATAAATAAATAAATAAATAAATAAATAAATAAAATCTTAAAAAAAAAACTAAACATAGTCTTATACAGTTATTACTTTTCTATGTATTTAGCAATCCAAATAAAAAAAAAACCTGCACACAGATAGTTATAGCAGCTTTATTCATAATTGCCAAAAACTGGAATCAACCATGGTATCCTTCAACAGGTGAACAGATGAACAACCTGTGGTATATCCATTCAATAAAATATTACACAGTGATAGAAAGAAATGAGCCATGAAAGGACTACACACTGTATGATTCCAACTATATGACATTCTGGAAAAGGCGAAACTATGGTGACAGTGAAAAGATCAGTGGCTGCCACTGGTTGGAGGAGGTAGAGGGAACAACAGATGACATATAGGGCATTTTTAGGGCAGTGAAACTATTCTGTATGATGGTGTGATGGTAGATACCATGACATTTTGCATTTTTCAAACCCAACACAGTGAAGCCTAATGTAAAATATGAGACTTAATTAATAGTATCTAGATATTGGTTCTTTAATTGTAACAAATAGATCACACAAATGCATGATGTTAGTAATAGGGGAAATGTGGGGAGTTTCTGGGGACCCTCTATACTTTCTGCTCAATTTTTCTATAAACTTAAAAACTGAAGAATAAAGTCCATTATTTTTTTTTTTAAGTTAAAAAAACCCTACATACCTTTTTGGATTCACTTTCAAAAGTTGATGGTAACATCTCTGGGAAGAATTTCAGAAATGCTGGTAATAAGAATTCCATGAAGGGTACAATTATGAACACCATAAATGGAACCAGGCGGAAAAAATCGGCACAAGTCCTCAAGAGCTAAAGAATTAAATGCATATGCAGTATTCATTATTTTAGGACATGCCCAAACCAAAAATATGAAATCAAAAAAGCCTGCCTTGGTTGTTAAAGTGTTAAACCCTAGACAGATCTTCTGCAGCTGTTAATAAAATGGAAAGGTAGGGTCTTCCTCTTCACAATCGCCCTAAAGTAACACCTTTGGGATATCTTCAAGGAAATCTATGACAGTCAAAAAATATTGCTGGCATTATTTATTGTTAGCTTTCATCTATGTCAGGGGTCTGTACCTGAATAGCACAGTATCTGTTAAAAACTGATTTTTCAAATGTATATGCTTAATATATTAGCAGTAGTTTCTATTTTAGGTGCACAAATCAAACCTGAAGCTTCTCAACTCTTTGGGGGAGATTAGAAAACACAATTATAACCATTTTATGGGTAAATATACACAAATCTTGAGAATCTTGCCTAAAGCTGTACAGTTCGTCAGTTTCAGATAAACAAGAAACTCTGGTTCTCACCATCAGTTACTATTCCTACTTTGGGGCTTTAAGATGAGTTTAAAACTTGGTTCCCAAATAGTTCATTTTTAACTTTTTCTTTCTCAAATATGATTCTCACCTACCCTTCGTCTTTCTCGTCTGGTCAGCACCTGTCCATGCAGCAGCCTCCAAACCATCCTGGCAGCAACTTTGGTGTCAATCCATAGCAAGTAGAATCCATTGTAATAATATTTAAGTTCATCCATAATTCTTTGTCTATAAGATTGCTTTTCTTCCTTAATCTTTGTGCCAGTTTCTTCTGAGGGCTGAGGGCTTGTCACCTGTGGCTTTTTTGGGGTTTGATCCAGCTGGGGTTTACCAGGGACTTCTTGTAACCAGCAAGTTGATGTGTGTAACTTTTGTATTATTCTAGTTCGTAAGTAAAGTACTTTATTGCCTGACTGATTAGGGTAGGAGTACTTCTTGCTTACACAGTTCTTCATATATGTTTTACTTAAATGAGAATCTGGCAAGTGAAGATACGCAAATGATGGGGAATAAGAAGAACTGGTAGGATGGACAAAATAGCTAGGGAATCTGGAATAAAGAGCAACATCCTCTGAGTTGAGCACATACTATTACAAAATTAAAAATGAAAGAAATAGATATTTTATCTGGTCAAAATAAACAATGATTGTTAAGCCTGTATTTTAAAAGCAGAGGATATTCATTAATGAGTGAAATACAACTTTTTACCCCTGTTAAAGAACAGTGTGCTTTATGGTTGAATGATACACTCTATGAGAATTATTAAAAAGTTAATTCCCAAAAATAATTGCTATGTTACAAGTTAGAAACTCTGCAACTATTCTTGCTCAAGGGCGAAGCCAATCTTCTCTGTATTGTTCCAATTTTAGTGTATGTGCTGCTGACACGAGCACGAAACTCTGCAACTATATATTTAAAAATCTAAAAGCAAACATTTCTCCCCCATGGTTGTGTTTCAAAGTGTTCTCTTTATCTGCTATCATAAAACAGGTGGAACGCTTGCATCTTTGGTTATTCTGCTAACAGGAATATTGCTTGAACAAAACACTTCATCGCCTCTGTGGGGATTAACCAACCACATATAATACTGCTTTGTCTGTGTAGTGCCCATGGACTCCCTCATATGAGAGGCATCTTTGGCAGAAATACCCTTCACCTATGATTCCTCAAGACTGTTAGGAATAAGGATTAAAATTGGGCACCCTAAGCCAGGGATCTCTATATTCTCGTTTTGCAACAGCTCACAATCTTCAGTTAAATTAGCACATCACATTGTTTGAAAATAAAAATAAGACCCATCTAGGCAAAGAAGTTCCTGGCAAAGACATTTCTTCTGGCAAAGAGATGGCTTTTCCATTCTCTCAGGCTGTTTTTGAAGCATGCCAAGATAAAACACTTTTTGAAGGGCCAAAAGGGAAAATGTACAATGTATCTGGAACATAGTAAGTTCTCAATAATACCCTTGTAATAAATAAGTGATAACAGACCCTACTAGGATAGGTATGTGCCCTAGGACTGGCTTGTTTGCCAGCCATTTGACTCATTTTTATATCTAAAGGCTTCACACTACATTCATCAATTACAGAAGTGTCACTCTAAAACCATTACATCTTCTCTCTTTGCTGTGCCATACATCTACAAAATTACTCAGCCTGAGTTCTAAAACACATAGAAAATTTGGGTTAAGTTTAAATACAATAAAATGTCAGCTTCCTAAAAATCAGTATAAAGCCAATAGAGATTTAATTTGTTGTGGAACAAGCCTATCCTTTGACATATATCTTTTTCATCTAGAAGAAAGTTCATAAAAATATTGCAGGGGAAGAGGGTATTCCACGGCTTACCTTGTTCGGGCAATAGATAAGATTGTTTTATAACTGTAGAAGGCCATACTTATATGTTTCAACTAGTCAACATAGGAACCTAGACAGAAGGATTAAGTAAGCAATTTAGTATTTTAAAAACACATCAATTATAAAGATACCAGGATTTCAGAGTTTACTATTGCAAGGTGGAAAATTTCCATATTCCATTCAAGGTGTAAAATTTCTCTCAAGTTCATTTCCAACAGTCCTGAATGTTTTCTCATCTTGGGTTTGAGAATGGTACTTTGAGATCCCAACAAATAGAAATGATCTCTAACATCATGGTCCCCATAATCATGATATGGTGTTCAAAGAACTTTTTATTTCTTGTCTATAATACCTAATAACCTACTTGAATGGTTGCCAGGTATTTCAGAAGCTAAGCAATGCACACTTAATAGTAGCCTAAAAATACAGGTAGAATAAAGTAAATAGCCTGGATCTGTCTCAGCTTTTTCCCACATTTGGCCAAGTTGCCCCAAACTTTAAAGATTGAAAGTAGGCCTGCCTGGCTGGCTCGGTTGGTAGAGCATGCGCATGAAGCTCGATCTCAGCGGGATCTCAGCATCATGAGTTCAAGCCCCATGCCAGGGGCAGAGCCTACTTTAGGAAAAAGTACTCACAAACCACGGTTATGTAGCAGTGAAGATAAACATGGTACCTACTAATAATTCAAACGGAGATAAATCAGTTTTCTGTGCTGGTGATTCTCCAAAGAGTCCACACTAAGCTTTATACCTTTAAACAAGCTTTATCAAAGCCTTTCTCCATCCTGTGGCCCTTTCCAGCCAAGGGCAGCCAGGGGTTTTGGTAATATGTCTCAGCGTCAACTCTGCTTCCCTGCAGCTGGAAAAGGCGTCGACCAGGGTGCTCTCCTGCACGGTTTAAACCTCAGCCACAGAGCTGACATTTTGAACAGGAGTTCAAACAACACTGGGACTCTGGAAAGCCAGCCTAAGGGCGGGCGGTCTCCTGCTGGCGAGGGGTCGCCCCAACCCGGCGGTTGACCTGCTCTCCCGCCCCGGGCGCAGCGGCCCCAAGCCGCAGGGACCCACCTCCGAGGCGGGACGGCCGGGAGCCCCGCCCGAGCTGCCGCGCCGCCCACGCCCACACGCGGGGTCCCGGGCTCCCCGGGTTACCTTTGCTTCTGGCCCTTGACGACACAGGGGCCCAACGCGCCGTCGGCTGGGCTTCCGCAGCCGAAGGCTTTGGTGCGCGTAGTGTGCTGGTGGATGGAGTTGTGGCGGCGGGATCGGGTCGGGGTTGGGGTCGGGATCGGGGTGGGGGGCAGTTCTTTGTGTGTGGGTGCGGGGATGGTGCAGGCGCCCGGACCACAACCTTGTGGGCGATCCAGGTTTATGGAAGGCAGACGAGGAGAAGCCGGGGGCGCAGGCTACGGAAAAGAAAGGAGGAAGCGAAGCACGGAAGGACGTGGGGATGGAGGTTGAGCTCCAAAGTTACAGGATGGCAGGGGCACGAGGTCAAGGGCTGAGGTGAGTGCGGTGGGGAACTGGAAGCTGTCGGGAAAACGGGGCGCTGATGGGCGGAGGACTCCGGAGGAAAAAAGGCAGGCAAGGTCCACCAAATAACAGCCTGAGGACTTGGCCCGCCCACAGCTACCCCCTCGGACCCGCTCCCAGAACGGCTGCCTCAGTCCTCCAGTCCCTTCCCAAGCCCCCTCCCCCAGCTCCCCAGCTCCCCAGCTCCCCAGCTCCCCAGCTAGAAGGGCCGCAGGCCCTCTCCGTGGCTCCACCTCTTTCCTCACTCCTTACGTCACTCTGAGTGACGACACCGCCGACCAATGAGCTCTCAGATTGTGGAGCGGGAGGGCGTCCTTCGCCGTGCAGCCCTGCAGGCTGCCAAGGTCCGGTTCCCACCGGCCAAATGACTCTCTACTGGGTTTGGTTTCGGGAGAATCTGTGTTGCAGGAGAGGGCGAGACTGACGTTTTTTCCGTCTGTCCACACTCTGTAGGCTGTGGGCTAACCTCCTCGAAAATCCTCGTTGAAGGCTAGATTAAAGAACCTCTTACCCTGAGAGCGTAATATGCTTGATAGTCGCCATGGTAACCATCTTAAAGTCACGAATTACATCACTTTGATGTGCTCCCGCACCCCACCCTCGGCCCCTCCAAATCAACCGCTGGGGTTGGGGTGGCGCGGAGAGGTCTGCGGAGAGGAAGCTGCAGAACGGGCGGGAATGGTTAGGAAAACATCCTTTTCCATTCTCCGGGGCCTAAGAGTGGAATGCTTTGAAATCTTCATATGGAAATCTGGATTCCACTAGAGTAATTTGTTTTATAAGTGCTCTCTTTGGGATGCCTGCATGGTTAAGCTCTGCCTTAGGCTCAGGGCGGGATCCTGGAGTTCAGGGATCGAGTCCCACATCCGGCTCCCTAAGGGGAGCCTGCTTATCCCTCTCCCTTTGCTTAGGTGTCTGCCTCTCTGTGTGTCTCTCATGAGTAAATAAATAAAATCTTCTTAAAAAATAAGTGCTCTCTTCACATATATATTGTTTATGATGATTAGTTTGCATAGAAATCTCAAATAACGTTTAAGATGTGTATTACAGTAACTGCGGTTACGTAGGCACTGCAGGTTTGGGGCACTTCAGTTCCTAGGTTGGGTAACTGAGCCGTCTTGGAGAAGTGAAGGATACAGAAATGTTCTCACTCTCCTGTTATCTCTACCCATCCATTTCATCTGGCGCTCTAGAAGGAAAACATTTTTAGGGGCTCTGCTGGAACTAACACCAGGCAACAAGGAATCGCTTTCACAGGGAGAATACTTCTCTTACCATGTGAGCTGATTACAGACCTCACTCATCGGGGCTGCACATTTGTAAGAATAAATGATGGCGGGTGGTCAATTTCAGGTTTTTGGTTTTTTAAAAAATGTAGACTGCTTTTAATCCACAGCGTTTTTCAGCTAATAACCAAATAGATCAATGTTAAATAGGCAAAACTTTTCAGTTTGGCCACTAGAGGGCCGTTTGTGCACGTCGGATCCTGAGAGTTTCTACATAAAGCTTTCACTTCACGTTTTATGTTTACTAGAATTAACAAAATCTACAAAGCTTTGGTCTTGCCTTTGCCTCCCTGAAAATTCCCGATGGCAAATTTTGAGCTCTAAAAGGCTATTTATAATTTTTACATTAATTCCATAAATTAATCACTGTACTATCATAAACATGTACTTTTCTGGAAAAGATCATAAAGATGCAAAAATATTCCTTTCAGTTCCTGGGAGACATTTTATACCAGGAAATATTCTTATCCATGCATTGTATTCACTTACAAACAGGCATAGTAAAGTCATTAAGTATTCATAAACCAGGTGAATGATTCCAAGCTCAGTATTGGAAAGATGAGTTAGATTTTCTACTACAGTCATATGTCAGCAATCCTGTTCTAAAAGGGGATGGGTAAGAACCTTCCTATTGAAATTCATTTTTTTAAAAGCAATGTTTGCATTCTGCTATTTTTTTATTTTCAGGATTAAGTTATTTATCATGTAAGGAGTTTTTAGATATAATCTTCGGAGGGGAAACAAAAAATTATTTTCTCCTTAACTCTGGCCCTGGATATTGTGTTGGATTGCTGCCTTAATTGTTTGCTCATTTTGTATGGAGAAGAGAAAGCATGATGTTACATGCCAAAAATGTAAATAATTTTAATGGCCATTTCGCTAAATATGGCTCAAGATCAAATATCATTAACCGTATATTTTTAATGTTTTGCACTAAGAGATTATATATCTACTTCACGGAACTTTAAACTCTTGTCAGCCTAGAAGCAGATTAAAATAAAATCCCTGGGGACAATTACCAGCTTTTCCTCAAGGGGAAAATCCAGATGTCAGGTTAAGGCAACAGTCTATCAACAAATCAAGGAGTATACAGGAAGGTGGAGAGGAAGGATGATGGTAGAAAGAATCACAGAAAAAAAAAACAAACAATCTAACCTCTCTTTTGAGGAGACACAAACTAAAATAAACTCAGGGGGCCCCCTTTAAGAGGTCTGTGTTCTAAAAAAAAGACCTTTAAAACAAACAAAAATGTGTTTTTATTTATTCCTTTAACTTTTGGTACTGCACAAAACATAGGGACTACATAAGCATAGGTTTAGAAATAATGATTAACTCTAATGAGAGTGCTTAATTCTCAATATCATCTGTAGTATAATTAACAGGGTTATGTTTTTAAAAACCTGAAACATGCGGCACCTGGGTGGCTCAGTGGTTAAGTGTCTGCATTTGGCTCAGGTCGGAATCCCAGGGTCCCGGAATCCAGTCCCTCATCGGGCTCCCCACAGGGAGCCTGCTTCTCCCTCTCCTTATGTCTGTCTCTCATGAATAAACAAAACTTAAAAAAAAAAAGATATATATATATATGCATATATATATATAATTAGTAGTCATACAAATAACTGATCTGTAGGAATCTTTTAATTTCTTGGTTAAGTGGTATTTAAGGGTAAAGATATCAAGAACTTAATGTGGCCATGCCAAACAGATCCAGAACTATCATGTCGGTGCAGAGTATAATATCTAGTTGTGACATGGCTTCATTATCCTCAGAACAGAGCACAGAGGTTTCCTCATCTGGTCGCTGCTGCCTGCGTTTTCTTTGTACATTCAAGTCTCTGCACTGCAACGTTCTAAGTCATCACCACCAGGCCCCAGGAAACATCGCCAAATTTTGCAAGCTCCGACAAGATTACTTTCATGTGCCACACTTTCTATTGATTAGCATACATTTCCTAGGATGGGGAGGGCTTCGAGGGTTTCAGAGAATTTTGACTCCCCTTTTCCTGCTCTCATTCTTGTGCGAGCTCTGTCGAGGATAAGCGTCCTCCCATCCCTCGAAGCGAAGGTCTGGCAGCGAGCAGCAGAGGCCCAGGCACGTGACGGGAACGGAGCCCTCTGGGTCCCCGGGGGTCCGGGCTGCAGTTGGCGCTGACGTCCTCCTGGTTACCCACAAGCCTCCGGGCCCGCAGCGCGAGCAGGAAGAAGGCGTGCGGGGCCGGGTGGCTGCCGGGGAGCTCGGCGCTTCCTCACAGCGGCTGAGACGCCGCCAGGGCTCGCGACTGTGGGGCGAGACGGGGTTGGGGGGGCATCCGGGATTCACACTCGAGGCCAAAAAACAGGCTCCGAACCCCACGGCTCACGTCTGAAATTGCTGCTGCGGTTTCCAGACGCAGACCCCCGTGGAACAGAAAGCTCTGACTCTGACAGCTGCCGGACAGAAGGCGGCCAAGGGGGCACACGAACTGTTCTCTTTCCCGGGCCTCTTAACCCGGCACTCGTTAGTAGGTTATTTCTAACACGCAGGAAGTGCGCGGCAGCGTCACTGGGGAGCACCATATGGACTTTAATGGGTGCTGTTATTTAACAAGTCTCAGAGAGCACGCACGAACCCAGTTTTACCTCACAGGCCCAACCTTTCACCTATCTTCTGTTTTTTTTTTTTTTTTTTTTTTTTTTTTTTTTTAACTCTTCTTTGTAGCATTCCTTCCTGCCTCTGCCTTTATCGCCGGCGGTCTCACTCTCGTCTAGACTCTCTCGGGCCGCTCCTCTCCGCCCTGCCGACTCTCCTCTTCCTCCTTTTGCCCCCCTTTGCCCCCAACCTGGGACTGCATTTCCCGGCAGGCGCCGCGGCCAGCGGCCAATGAGGGGCTGAGGATTTGGCGGCGGCGGCGGCGGCGGCGCTCGGAGAGCCGGGTGGGGGGACTTTGTGCGCGGCGGCGGCGGCGGCGGCGGCGGCGGCGGCGGCGGCTGGAGCGGGCGGCGGCGGCGGCGGCAGGACGGAGGCGGAGGCGGAAAGGGACCAGGCACTGATCGCTGCGGAGAGGCGTGCGAAGGCCAAGTCGAGCCCCGAGGACCCTGCTGCCCCGGCCCGGCCGCCAGCCACAGCCCTCTCTCTGGCAGCGGCGGCTGCGCGGCGACCCCCCATCCCTCCACCGCCCCTGCCCACCCCACCTCCCGCAGCCTTCCTCCTTTTCGCTTCACGCCCGGCCCGGCCCGGCCGCGGCCCTCCTCGGTGTCGGCAGCCATGGCAGAGGCGTCCGGCGCGGGGGAAATCTAGCCCGGGGATTTCATGCGGCCTAGCTTGGTTCCGTCTCCTCCCCCGCAGCCCCGGCGGCTGCCCGCACCCTAGCCCCACTCCGGGCCTCCGTGTCTCTCCTGTGATCGTACTGACACGGCCGGGGGGTTAGAATGGAACAAACTGAAGGTAAAGTGAATGCGTATGTGTGCGTGTGTTGGAAGGAAGAGCTAAGGAGGGAATGACGAGGAGGGGGCGACCTAGGGATGGGACGCGCGGGTAGAGCGAGAGACCAGAGCAGGGATGGGAGGACGGGAGGGTGGCCGGCAGGGGTCCAAGGGGAGCCTAGAAGGTGAAGCAGAGGGCCAGGTGGGGGGTGTGGAGGGTAGAGGGAGGTGGGGCAGGGGAGGTAGGATGGGGAGAAGAGATGAAGTGGCGCTGAGCTGGGAATTGGGAGTAGAGGTGGGATGGGGGCGGGGATACAGATGGAACAGGGGAGGGACAGGGGAAGAGAAGAAGAGTTAGGTTTGGAGAAGATTAGAGACCTGGGTGGACTGATAAATAGGGAGGTTTGGGGGTGCATTGTGGAAACTTGAAGAGTCTGGGGGAAGGGGTGGGATTTGATCGAGGGATCGGGCATCAAGAGAGAAACGAGGGAATGAAAGTGGAGGAAAAGATGGATTAGGAAAAGGGACAAGGAATTGTTGAGACAGGATGCATACAGAGGAAGATAGGAAATTGGAAGACCTAAGGTTGGTGTTGGGAAGGAAATTAACTGAATGTTGAAAAGGATGAGAACTATCGACCAAGCATCACAGAGTGGGAGGAAAAGAAGGGGAAGAGGGTTGTTAAAGGAAGAGAAAGCCTTTTGTTCCTGTATTTCTGTGTGTTCTGGGCCTTTTCTTTCAAGGCTAGAGAATATAGAAGCTAGTGGTTATGGTGTTGTGATTGTTGTGAAACGGGGAGGTGTGGGTTTTACTGTTTTGAGGGAGGAGGAGATATGTTAGTGTTATGGTAGCAAGGCAGTAGAGACATGGCCATAATCTGATGGTTTTGCTGAGGGAGTGAAGACTGTTCAGATTTAAAGGGGGTAGGGGCAGCCATGTTTGCTGCCAGGCACTGCAGTGTAAATAAATTCCTTCTCTCCGACATCAGTATGAATCTGGAAGGGGCCAGTGCAGATTGTTAACCCCCTTTTTTTCTATTCGTGAACTCTTCCCATACATCTTGTGGTAATTTAATATTATTCAAAACCACCAAAGGAGGTAGTGATGTTTTCCATCTCGTATGTTTTGCTGCTCCCCCACCCCCTTTCCCTCTTCCTTCTGGTTGCAAACAAGGCATGCTAATGAACTGCAGTGTAGAATTAACCCTTTTTATAAAGTTGAAACTATATTTTTACTAGCTGAAGGAATCGTTATTGTCATATTTCAAATGTGATCATAAAAAGCCCTAAATATTGAAAATTTGTTTTAGAAGCTTCAGAAGCAGTCAACATGTTTTCTGAAATTCTTTAAGTAAACAAGGAAATTGCATTGGTTATTTTTCTTGGGCTTGTTTTCTTGGCAAAGCACTGTGTGGGGGTGAGAAGGGGTAGGAAGATCTGCTTGTGGTAGATTATCTGCTTGCTGTATTTTGAATGTTGGAAAATTAGAACTATATGTATTTTAAAATGGTGTTTCTGGTAATTCATGCTTATAGGAGGTGATGGGTGTGTTAAATGTTTTCTTTTTTTATGCACTCTCTCTCCTCCATCCCTTCCCTTTGCCTTCATATGTCCAGCTCATTACAATCTCCAAATGCCAGTTCAGCACAGTGCAATGATCTATGAAGTAGGCATGCAGTTCTTAGAGTCTCAATGAGGTGCCAGTTTTTTTTTTGTTGTTGTTTGTTTGTTTTTTGGTGGGAATTTAAGATTACTCTTAGGAAAGCTACAGTAACTCTTTAATGTATCAAAATGTAACTACTTGGGTACTTTGAAATTGTTACTGTTCTAAAGGTTTAAATCCTGCCAAACTTAACATTAGATAAATTGCTAAAAGGGGCCTATTTGCTTTTCATATTGAAAAGGATTAAGAGTGTGTGTGTGTGTGTGTCCTTTTGTTTTATAATTGTAATTGGGGTAATCCAAACTTTAATCCATCATATTGATTTTGAAACTATTCTCTAATACCAGAAAGGCCTGTTAAAACTGTGCTGTGATGGACTCAAACCAATTGTACTACATATTGATTTAACCTATTTTAATGCAACATCCTTTCAGTTGTTATAAAGAAGTTTAGGATGTGTTCTTGGTGTGTTGGAAAAATGAAGTTGAATATTGTTAGAGTAGTACTTTATGAGGGTATTTTTAGTTTAAAGGCCAGATTTAAACTTGGAGTATTTTGATTTGATAGTATTCAGTCTGAATTTTTAAAAATTCTTTGAGGAAAAGTTTCATTCAAAAAAAGCCATTCAATATGCTTTTTGGAATTCACGGATTTTTTTCATTTTTGTCTTCCAATCATTTGACATGTTATTTGTAATTAATTGGTAAGTTGTGTGCATGAACTACCAGTGCCATAAATTTTTAGGAAAATGAGAAATTGTTATATGTTAAGATAAGAAAACACTCATGTTGGAAGCTTGAATTACTTAAAAAAAAATGTCTGTTCCTATGTATTCAGCAGTCAGGATCAGGGTCTCTTGCCTAGCTGTAATGATTATTCTGGCTCCTTGGATGCATATCCATATAATGAAGAAGGCTATCCTAGTTATATGATAATTAAAACCCTGACTTTCTTGTGATTACTGTGTCCATCAGCCCACCTGCTACCTGTGATATCTTTAAAAAAAAAACAAACAAACCTTAAAATGCTCTTTCTTATACTAATCAGATTGACTGAATTTTGGGTAAAAGAAATTGGTTGCCTTTGAGATTGGTCATCCTCCAGTGAATTGTCAAATCTGATTCTAAAGATACTCTGTTTCTGGAGTTTATAATAATCATAGCAAAGCTGCTAATAGTTGTCTTCTTACAGTGTGCTGTGCTGAGTGTCTCACATGTAAGATTTCCTTTTATCCTCCCAACAGTTGTCTGAAGTTAGTACTACTAACTCCCTTTTACAGGTGGGGAAATTGAGGTTAAGTAACTTAATACCACATAGATGGTAACTAGCAAAGCCAATATTTGAATCCAGGTCTTTCTAATTATAGAACCTAGATCAGCAGATCTTTTAGTTTCTTTTAAAAATTTTATGAATATATGTTCATTATTTAAATTTTTTTCAAATATTATAAAAGGCTAAGAGGTAAAAGAAAAAAGTTAACACCCTATTTCTTCCTTATAACCATTTCAAAGTTTCTTCGGAGTCCTCCTAGAAAATATCTGTACAATCATAGGCATAAGTGTGACAGTATGACAAATTGGGTCATACTGTATGCATTTTGCTTTTGTATTTTAATAGGTTACCTGGGACAAGCTTTTTTTTTTTTTTTTTTTTTTTTTTAAGATTTGATTTATTTGTTGGCGAGAGTGTGCGAGCACAACCAGGAGGAGCAGCAGGCTCCACACTGAGCAAGGAGCCCTGATGCGGGACTCCATCCCAGGACCCTGGGATCATGATCTGAGCCAAAGGGAGATGTTTAATTGACTGAGCCACCCAGGCATCCCTCGGACATCCTTTTAAGTTAGCACATATTGATCTATATATTTTTTTAAGGGTCATATAGTATTCTATTGTTTGGAATATTGATTAACGTTAGGATGTTAACAGGTCTTTGCTATTTTAAGCAATATAGAGATCAGGTCTTGAATTAAGTCCCTAACAGCCTATTTAAATGGAGGGGATATAGTCCAACTACTTTATCAGAGAGAAAACAGAGGCCTAAAGAAGTTAGATTCAAGGCTTTGGTGACAGACCTGTTATCTAGCTCTTTATATACCACATTATTTCATTATTATGAAGGTATTTAAGCTTTCTGTAAAAGCTCAAAGTAAAGGGGAATATTCAAGGTTAGGCACATTTGGTACAAGGAGTGCGAGAGGATTAAGTTGAAGTGAGGCAAAAGATCTTGTTTCACTTTTTTCATACTTTGTTCATCATATTGTATACATAGCATATGCACAAAATATTTTTGCATGCGTAAATGAACCCTGCGCAAGTATCTGAAAGTTTGTGTTTTGGGTAGTGAAGTGATTTTGGCAGAATTTTTTCTGTTTTTTTAATAAAATTATCAATGAATTGCGATAGTAATGAAGTGGAAAAAAATAAGAGGTCTATCATGGTCCTGGAAAGGATCTTGGAAAGAAAGTTGAGGCACTGGTAAGTTTTTTAAAATGAGCTTAAAAATAGCTCATTGAAAACAAGTTTTAAAATATTTTAGCAGGCACCATTATTTTTAATTTTTTATGTCTATCAAGAAGAAAGTAAGTTACCATGGATACATATTCACTGGGTTCTTTTGAAACAGTCTGCTGTAGACACTTAAAATCATTAAAGCCTTTAAAAGATTTAGAATTTATTATCTGTAAGATCTGTTTCTTGGCATTTTACTTTTTAAAAAGAGTCTGTTATTTTTTGAAAGAGCAACTAAGATGATTTATTTCTTTGTTAATAAACAACATGCCCAGCTTTTGAGTTTTTAAAATGAATGGTGAGCTTTTTTTCTGCAGGCTAATCTTTTTATAAATGTTAATAAAGGTAAATTTAAGAAATTGATTGTACTACAGCTACCTAACACATTTTTAAAAAGCTTACAGTTTTGGTTTTTATTGTTGACTTTACTAAGTACTTAATAAGTATTTTCACTTTTGTATTATGTTGTGCCTGTACAGTGTGGCCTAAAATGAAGGTAAAAAAAGGTTTATAAAATTTTGTGAATATAGGGATCCCTGGGTGGCTCAGCGGTTTGGCGCCTGCCTTCGGCCCAGGGCGTGATCCTGGAGACCCGGGATCAAGTCCCATGTCAGGCTCCCTGCATGGAGCCTGCTTCTCTGCCTGTGTCTCTGCCTTGCTATCTCTCTCTCTCTCTGTGTGTGTCTCTCATGAATAAATAAATAAAATCTTAAAAAAATATAATGAAATAATAAAATTTTGTGAATTTAGAGAATGTTCAGTTTTTACTAGATGGGTATGTGTTGTTACTGCTAAAGTACATCTGCCCATTGATGACATTTTGAATTTGAAAATCTCTTTGAAAAATGATTC